CATGTCAATGCTCTCAATCACTCCCTGAGTCAAAGACTAAGATACATTTTTATAGTCACTGCAGGGAATATTCTCTGGCTAGTAAAACTGTTTGTGCCAAAAAGAAAGATCAACCCCTACAAGGCCAGCAAGTAGGAAGAAGCATTACTTTCTCAGTTAAACTGTCTCACTCATTGTTCCCTTTGAAGTCAGACCTGATTCAGCTGAGTCTATCTAGATGGTGGACATGTCAAAATAGCATTTTAGAGGTTAATAACAGAGGAATTATATAATCTTTCACCGATAAGGAAGAAGAACCCACAAATATCCTATTATATACACAAATGTGCAAGACAATGACAAGTCTTTTGAATAGTCTTACATTTGCACATCTACCCAACCAACCTTAACTGTTTAATTGTACCTCTTAATTTGCATTGTTGATTATATACAAAGGCACGTGCATTCAATTTCTACTAGATGTCCTGGGACTTAGGGGACATAGTCCATGTCTAAACCAATAAGATATTATGTGCTTTGTGTTCTCACCAAGTCCAAGATGTACAACAACCTCATTACACTTGCTGCCTAAGCACTGTCACGGCAGCAGAGATGAGCTCCCTTGGCCAGGCCAAAAATAGGGCGAATACCCAAATTCTAAGTAGTGTTTCCACTGAGAGTAAGTTCAGCCAAAGCAAGTCTTTTATTTTATTTTTACCACCAATAAGATCTCTAAGGAGAATTGGACCAAGAAGTCCCCACAAACACTGGAATCAAACCCAGAGCCAAAAAAAAAAAAGCATGAGAGGGGAAATGCTGAGCTCCTGCAGAACTCCTTAACTAGACTGATTCTTCCTGCCAACTAAACCAGGGAACAAGGTTCCTTTCTGGCTTCTACCACCCTCATCAAAGCAGTTCTTTATGGGCCATTAACAAAGGCCAGGTTTCGTGCCTGCCACTGTCTGGAGGATGCCTTCTTATCTGATTAAATAGAATATTATGCTAAATATTCAGCCAATCCGGCACTGGCTGTGTGGGTGTGCTGGATAAAATCTTCATGAAAAACGCCATCACAGGGTCATTTGTTTAATTTCATTTCTGCCAAATGTAAAAATAGAACGAGCCGCCGTGAGGGGTTGAGGCTTGACAGCATCAACGCGGAGCCTCCCAAGCACAGAAACCACAGTGTTCCGCTGGCTCGCTCATGGTCTCCTTCTGCCAGGGGGAAAAGACAGAGAAAACCTGCAGGCAAGGTGCCGCTTCCACTTATCTTCTGCTCTTTTCCCCTCTGTGCCCTTTTCTTGCATATACTCTCTGCATCTTCCTCTTGGCCCATCTGTTTCCTCTTTTTCCTCCCACTTGGCCTGTTTCTCTCTCTGCTGCCATACCCTCCTCTCCTTCATCATTTGCATGTGTCTTTCCTCGTTTTCTCCACTCCAGGGACCTGTTCTCCTCCCATGCCTCCAGCATCCTTACCTGGCTGCTCTGGCCTCCTGAGGTAGCCAGTCTTCTGGCCCACTGGGTCTCACAAACTTTTCTAAGAATTGCTCTCCTCTGCCCTCACTCTCTCTCTGCTCCCTTCCCCAAATCCCAGACACAGGAGATGCCCATAAAGATGGAATTTTAGAGATCAAATGGCAGATGAGCTGTAGAAGCTGTCTTTTTTATACTCCCTCATCTAGCTAAATATGTTTAGAATTCATTGAGCTCAGCAACCATGGTGGGAGGGGGAGCAGCAGGAGGTGCATCACTGGTCTTGTGTTTTCAATAAATCATTTTTTATTTTTAAGAAGGCTTTCTCAAAAATACATGCTCAAGTTGCATTCTCCTGTTCCAACCCTTGAAGCTCACAGCCACCTTCAAATTAACTCTGTTAAAAACCTGGCTCAGAGAAGAAAAAAATTCTCCTTCACCAGAGGTTCCAGAGCTCCACCAAAGCTCATGGGATGGTGAGAGGAGAGATGCCAGCTGCTTCCTGTCTCTTAAAGGTCTCAGGAAGGTCCCAATATTTGACCAACTTCCAAAGAAGTCAGGTTGTTTCAAGCCTGTTCTGGTGGCTAATAAAACCACCTTTGTGCAGCTCCTTCAAAATGCTTCCAAGGGGTCCTTGCCAGTGGTGCCTGTGAACGACAGGTGATATTCTTCTCTCTGAAGATAAAACTTCACTGTTGATATGAGGAAAGTCTATGAGAAAGTGTGGTTAGCAGACCACTAACTCAGACTCATCAATGCCAACCCACTATATAAAAGAACTTAAATTCCTATTTTTATGGCAATCTTACAAATCTGTACATGAGTCTCCTGCCAAGTGTTCCTCCATCTAATGCACTCTATTTTCACATACACTAAATGAGGCTTTAATAAATTAAGGTGACCCTCATAAGAACACGTGACTCCTCAGAATCCTATTTCCTAAAACCTGTCTCTCTCTGCTGTAATGCTGTTTTCATATCTCCTACCTCCTATTAGCAACAACCATTATTGTGCAGATGTGCAATGCAGTAAGTACAAAGCAGATGGGATATTGGGGCATGTCTTAGAAGCCAGACTTTGCATACATCAAAATAAAAGCTGTATGGAATCTAACAGCTAAAAAAAATACTTGCCATATTTCTGTTCTGTACAGATTAGGGTACTAGATCAAATTAAGAGACCATGCAATTATTGCCATTTGAAGAATGATTGTGCATACCCTGAAAAAGAAATGTAGTTCTTGAGGTGCCAATCCACAGGTGCAAGAGGGGAAAGGAGAGGAAAAAAGAAAAGATTCTCATCAAGCTGAAAGATCCATGAAAACCAAACCAGGGTAGAAATTGTGGCAGCACCCACAAAGAAAAGCAACAAGGAAAGGCTGATAATTTGTAACAGAATTGTAAACAGCGCCCCAAAGCTACAAACAGCTGAAAACTACAAGCCACCTGTGCAAAAGCAGCAGCCACTGGGAGTAGAGCCCTGGAAAGGTCTTTGGAGCACAGCTGTATCCCTGAGGCTGGTGATTTGAGTTACAAGTCTACCAACTGCAGATGTATGAGGTGGGAGCTCATCTGCAAGGACATCAAATGACAGCTATAGTCCAAGAGCAAAGGATGGGAGGTGGTGGCAAGGACCAATGCCATCTCCTTATAAAAATGTGATTTCATTCAAGATCTATGATCCTTGAATATAGCAAGCCACCAAATAAAGCACTCGAATTTGAAGTCAATGCCAATTTAAGATATTACAACAGCACCCCAGTTTGGTTAGGTATTGATCAGTTGCTCAAAATGGTTTCTTTTCAACCCTACATCAAAGCCTAGCCTCAAATCTTTAAGACCAAACAACTTTTGAATGTGGATGGAGAAGACCAAAACTTCCACACAATCTTTTAAGACCCTGGATCTCTCAAATTCCAATGATGTCTCTGCCTGTTACAAGTTCCCAAGTAAATGAGCTAAGGGAAGGACTTCAAGCAAACAGTGGTGATCTCACCATACGTCATCAAAGGCAGTGAAGGTGACATGGATAGAGATATCCACTATGAGCAAGAGACATGGTCTTCGAATAAGGAACAAAGGTGGGAGGTACCTTGAATAAAGGGAATAAGAATTCACCTCAGCCAGAGAACAAGACTGAACTGCTCACAAAGGAGCCACATGCTTATACTTTGCCATCTAATCTCCTAAATGCTATTAAATGTGTGTGTGTGTGTGTGTGTGTGTGTGTGTATGTGTGTGTGTAAGAGAGAGAGAGAGAGAGAGAAGGAGGGGAATGGTACACTAGAAAGTATGAGTGGCTCTTTTTGACTATGTTTGTTCCACAATGAACCTCCATATCAGATTAGGGATTCAGTGAGACCTTAAACTAAGGGGTAGAAACATAGCATTTTCAACCAGTGTCTTAAACTAACAGAGAAAACCTTCCCTAAGTCATAGCTAAGACCTTCCCTCCAGAAGAGCCCCCAGCTGGGGATATGTCCAAGTACGTGTTGGCAAAGAAGACAGCTCAGCCCCCTGTACAAATTTGTTTTTGCCAGAGTGGTGGGAGTTTTACATCTGCTGCTGTCATGAAAACATCTTATTTTATTTTTTACAAGCCTTTTAAAAATTATTATTTCCTCAGAAAAATCCAGGAATCTTCCATGCATATGTGATATGTACAATCCTCCCACTCCTCCTCCTCTTTAACATTGGGCCTGGGGTAGCACATCTCTCTCACAATTGCCTCAGGTCATTCAGAAATCAGAGCCTGGATGCATTTGATCCACTGCTTGTCCCTGTATTAACTTGAGAGAGAAACTTTTTGAGGAATGAAGTTTCTCCAGGCTTGAGGTTGACTGATGGGTTCTCACAACTTCATTCTAAAGACCACATCTTCTCACCCCTTCATCTACTCCACAAGAGTAACTGTTACCCCTGGAAGAAGAGCCCGATCATTCCTACCTCCAAACCAGGAGTCCTTTCCATGGCTAAACCTTCCACCTCCAACCCTAGTCTCACCAGGTACCTTCAGATAAACCCCATGATGTGCATTTTGTCTTTCTGCCACTGTCTTCAACTTCCACAGTGCAGGAGAGATATGCAAAAGATCCATGGGGGGCAGCCAGATGGAGTAATGGAAGCACAGTCCAGAACAAGGAAAGCCAGTGCCCCCAGTTCAGACTTTTGTGGGAAAGGCGGGAAGAAGCAGACACAATGTTCAAGTCTTGAACCGCATCCTCACCACTTATTTTTGGCACATCACCAGCACTGAATGAAGAAAGAAGCCAGTTGGGCCACCTCCGGAAATTGATGGAGGTAATCTATCACTGGTTTCCTGGGGACTCAGGTGTTGGACACCACAGCCAGGCCACAATCCATGTTAATAGCTTTACCTTGCCCTCTGGTAACTTTGATATTGCACTAAGAAAATTAGGTTGAGAACAAATAATACCCCACCCCCAACCCCACATTTCCACAACCCCCAGTTTCACAGGGATTCCTTATCATCGGCCATGTATCCAGGTGTGTTTCTCCCAAGACTCGGGAAGATCAGGAAGTTCTTACCTGGGTCTGCTGGGAGAGCCACTCATGTGGACAGACACACACACGATCGGGGCGTGCTGAGGTCAGCGACGTCCAGGGCACACCAGCTGCTAGCTACTGCTCACATCTCCCGGCCGGCCTGGCTTTGCAAAGAGAGGGAGCCAGTCCCATCTGAAGGAGAAGAGAAGCGCGAACCGGGGAGGCGCGGGGCGGGCGGGAGCCCAGCTCTGGCACCGACGCTCCGGGGTCCAGGGCACAGGACACCTTACAATCCCAGCCGAGCCCGGACGGCTGTTTGCACCCAGGCGGGGCGGGGGCCGCTCGGCAGAGAAAGTGGGACTCCCCCGCTCTCCGTGGGCTGCGAGGCTCCCACGGTCTCGGTGGCTAGGTGTTACCGCATCGCGTTCTCTTTCTATATATACACGGCCCCCTCCCTGCGCGTCTGCGTTTCTCGGTGTCGTCCCCGACTCTCGCTCTGGTGTCCTCTCCCTTCTCCAGCTCTCGGGTCTCGGTCGATCCCTCTGTCTCCCTCCTCCTCATTCCCCTTCTCCTCTCTCTGTTTCTCTCCTCCCCTCACCCTCCCTCTCTGGGTGAAGCCTGCCCGCCTGGATTCTCCCGGTATTGCCTCCAACATTTAGCACTGCAGTGTAACTCGGGGACACACAACCAGACAATTGCCTCAGAACCTACCGCTCCTTTAAAAATCAGACCATCAAGTTTAGTGCGGAAACCAGCACCAGAAGCTCCGCTGCCTTGTGGCTAGGAGGAAATATTAGCCCACATGGAAACCAGATTACCGTGTTTCACGGGAGGCTATGGAAAAGGGGGTCGGGAAGATGGATGGCACAGATCAGCCCAAGTCCACAGGTGACCTGCGGGATCTTCAGGATGAGGTGGCGCCCTACTGGGCGATGTTAAAATCATGGCACTGCAAAGCAAGGTAGCACCCAAGGGATCATTGGGTTCAAAACGCTCATTTTGCAGATGAGAAAAATAAAGCTCAGGGAGGTCTAC